TACGTCTTTATTGTGTTTAAACTTCAGAATGGAGACTAAATTACCACTATTGTTTCATTTCAAGATTACCGGTACTCCTGTTCTGACCATTTCTCCCTACATCTGAGGTGCTGTTATATGAGAAACATTTGTGAAAGAATTAGACTATTTTTTTTGCTGTGAGACCTGCAAAACCTTTATCACAGTTGTGTACATAACGCCAATTTTAAATGGCAGAAAATGAGTACTTTGCATAAAAGTTATTTCTAGCATTGCTCATCATGGTCTGAAAGTATAATGAAAAACTTTACCTTTTTACAGTAGTTGCTAGGAAACATCCTGAACTTTTAAAGCGTAGGGGTCGTCACCTGTAAATGCGCGGGAATTGATTCTCGGGCGACGATAACGACGCAAGCTAAAAAACGCAAAGGCTCACGGGTAGACGCCTGTTTGTGAACAACGACATGCTATGGCCATCTAACGCATGCGCATGTGACGACTCCCCCCGCTTTAACATTTCAATCAAGCAAATTAATCAAGTGCAATGAAAATAATATAACAGACTTTTAACATTTAGCTAAAAATACGGAGTCCAGTGAGTAAACATGACGGGGCAACTTTCTTAACTATCTTATCATTGGTGTAAACGACGAATTGATTGTCGGTACTTTTATGAAGCTTGTGAAAAGTGCTTATAAATCATTGTAAAGACTGAATAAATAATCATATATTAAATAAACATGCATACTCAAACTTGTTAATATTCTTTCTTTTATTCGTTTCTAACTTTGGTTCCAGGTCATGTTTAATACCATTGTTTGGGCTAATATCATAAGGTCGTCAAGTCTGCCTAAAACAAAAAATGACCAAAAATGAGTTGTGTGGGGTATAATAATACGCTTCAGTTGAACTTGATGGCAGAATAAACAGTCAATGTGGATGCAAAACACGGTATGGTTTATTGCTGGATAAACTGGCATAGAAACATGTAACACATGAATAAGGAGCCCCGAAACTCCGAAACTAGCCCTTTATATAGGTGCGAATCGAACGTGAGAGAAAACACGTAAGCGGGAAATACAAAATGAAGTACGCAGGAGAAAAAGATACAATACAGAGTAAAATGATTGGCTGAAATTAAAT